CGTGTATCACAGTACCTACTGCTCACAGTGTATTAAATCATATATAAGTTTCCTAAAGGCTGGGTCGCGACCCTCAGGTGGGTCACAAGAGTTGTTGTTTTTTTTTTTGGGTTGTTTCCCAGGAGTTTACCAATAATGTCTATTGACGTGGCTCATGAAGGTTTGTGACTTTTAAAATATGGGTCCCCAGAAAAAAAGTTTGGGAAACACTGCTTTAAATGACATGATGTGCGATCAACAGCTTGACTTGAGTTGTGAAATTCACGCCTCTTGTTTTCAGGTGAAGTTCAAAGAGGTCAAGGAGGGAAAGGAGAAATCGGGAACATTTAGTGGACACCAGTTCACTCCCGTGTCTCCATCTGGCGCTACGCTCTGTGTAGCCTGCGATAAGTCTGTTTCTGGGAAGGAGCTGCTGCAGTGCTCCAGTAAGCATTACATCGTCAGTTCTGTTGTCGTTTTACGTCTCCCTGTGGCTGCACTGTTTGGGGTTTGTGTAAATCTCACTGCACGTGGTTCTGTTTAGCGGGAGACGTCAGGTTTCCTTCCTCTCGCAAATTCTGCATCCAACACAAGTAGCAGGATGTCATCCACTATAAAAACCACATGTGGACACATTTATTTATTGTGAAGCGTCATGATGATGATGATGAAATTAATGCACGTGTGTCTTTGTCTGCAGACTGTTTTCTGCACGTGCATAAAAGCTGCAGAGAAGCCGTTGCTGCCTGTGTAAAGGTAATTTAACCTTATTTAATCTAAACAATTTTTTTTTGTTCATGACAGATTAATGGAATAAAGGATTAAATGAATATAAATGAGTGAAAATGTTATAAAATGTGCAAAATTGCAACTTAAAAAATTACTGTGCATCTTCATAGTGGCTTGTAAAACTTGGACCATTGTCCTTATCCATATTAATCAGTCTACAGTATCTCGCCATTCATTGGACAAATATGTCATTCAGCCGTAGACTTACTTGCTTTGGATGTCTCTCATGAAGTCGAAGCTCCTGCAACACTCGATACGATCCACGGTAAAACTGAGCTGGACAGCCCTGCTGAAAATAAAAGACTGGCATTCAGCCTTATTGTCATTTGACCTATTAAATCCCAGTGAGTCATATGGCTGTTTTATCTCTGTGTTTCTCTGTGGTAATGCAGAGAAAAAGGCTCTTCCTAATATCCAAACATCCAGCCCGCATTCAGTTCAACTGAAACCACCTGTTGCTTGAATCCAAATTCTTGATTCTGACCTTAATATTTCATGATATTTCAGAGGAAACTGGACTTCCCTCACTGATTTAAATAAAATAATGTTTTTATAAAAAAATATGTATTTAAAAAATGTATGATAAACAATAAAAAAAAAAAATATTTATATATTTTTTTATAAAAATAGAAAATAAATTTTAAAAATTTAATGCTGTATTATCTTTGTATTCACTGTAAGGTGTCCTTGGGTGACAGAAAGGCACCTATGAAATAAAATGTATTATTATTATTATAAAAAATATAAATTAAATAAATTAAATTATTCAAATTAAATAAAAAAAATTGAATATATTTCTTGAAAGGCCCAAATTTCTTTTGGTCTTCTCTACTTGCCTAATGCCATATCCTGCCCTCCCACAGATTTGATGCTATAGAGGGTTTTTTTTTATTTTTTCTGCAACACTTGTTGATCGACTGTCAGGTCACATTCAACCCAATTAGACCTCCTCCCCCCCCCACCCCCCCAGCACTGTGCAGCAGAAACGTACAGCTCAAGGTCAAATCCTGGTTTTAGTTGTATTTTCTGTCTCTTTCTTCTGTTTCCTGTGATACTACACTGCCGTGCAGAGTAAAGGCTGAGTTCCAAAAACAATATATATGAATCAGTCTCTGAAGTGAAGGCAGACGTAGTTCATACAGACAAAGGAACTCGTGGAATGTTCTGAACAACACAGTTAGGGAATTGTGCTTGTGGGGCGGTCGGGGGTTAGGTTGAAAGGGGTCTATTTAATGGTTGACGCTGGACATAAATTGACTTCAGTAAAACACCACCTCAACAAGTATGATATTCGAAACTGATCTGTTGACACTGATGTGATTCTCTCGTTCCACAGAAGCCGCAGGAGAGGAATGCGGTGCTGGTAAAAAGCAAGACCCTGTCCCTCCCACAGAGTGAGTGAGAAATTGAGAAACACTTCCCCCCACCCCCCGCCCCTCACCTCTGCCGCGTCCTTCCTGCTCTTTGAATCATGCGGTCATCACCTGTCCTCCCTTGCTTTCTCATGCCGTGCATTTAACTATTTCTCCCAACCTCCCACTCCCTCCCCCATCCCTCACCTCCACCCACCCCTCCTCTATGTTGTTATTTCACGGCTGAAGAATAAGTTAAATTTTAATGTCTCTCAGCGGGGGATCTGGCCTGGATTGTGTTTACGTGTGTGATTATGCATGACTGAGGAGGCGGGAGAGTTTCCGTCTGTCTGTATGTGATGGTGTCATTTTAGTTTGACCATCTTCACATTTAATGAGTGTGTGTGTTTGAGGAAATACACTGTTCAGAATTGGCCTGATAACAGTTTCAACTTTAAACTGCTTTGCTTGTTAAACTACGAAGGATCACTAATTATCTTTTACAGTGTGGTTATTCAAATAGGCTTTTTTTCACTAAAAAAATGACTGAATTAATTATTTAATTTAAATTTAAAAAAAGCTAGTTCTCAACCACTGGGCCGGGACCAGTACTAGTAAATGAAAGTAAATACATAAATAAATGCCATTATATGTGTAATGGCCATGCTCTGATTCATGTGATTGGGTATGCATCTGCACAGTCTTCAAAATTTTACCCAGGATTGACACCTTTTGAACTTCTGTCTTAGAACTTTTTGACTCACCTGTACAGCTGATGTGTGTCCAGTCACTTCTCATCTTCTCTTATAGACTCCGTCAAAGAGAACTCTGCAGCCTCCATTTTTCTGTCCTCCTCGTCATCCTTCTGCGCCTCCTCCTCCGCTTCACTGCCCACCATGGCCAGAGAGAAGAGAGACACAGTCGCTCCCTTCACAAAAAGCCTCACCATCTCTATCGACAGCAGGTAACACAGTGAAGCGTTAACATTTTGAGGAGAACATTTCACCAAATAATTTCACTTTAAAAAATAGCACCGTTTCACACCACAGACGTCTGAGTGACTCGGTAGGTCTGGAGCTCGGAGAGTGCTCTGCACCTGCGTGTACCGACGGCTCACTGAGTGATGAGGGAACGCCGGTCACCACAACTCCCCCCAGTGCTGAGCCACCGGTCACTCCTCAAGGTGAGGGACACCAACCTGGAGGATTTAAAAGTCTCTGATAAAACACGTGGCCGTAGTGGAAGCAGCTACAGTGACAAGTGGTGACAGTTGTTTGTTTTCGTTGTGCTCACAGATTCTGTTGAGACTCCTCTGCTGAGTGACCTGTCAGCTGAACTGATGGGGCTGGATGCAGAGTCATGGAGTGTGGCGGTCAGTCCAGAGTTCTGTAAACAGTACGACAGACACACAGTGAAACGACAAGATGTCATCTATGGTAGGTTCATGGATTGTACATAAAAATTGGATTTAACCATTCGGTGGTAAAAAAAAAAGCTGCAGCAAAAAGGTTTTATGTTTTGTGTTTTTCCTGTATTAGGAAATATGGACAATTGAATATATACATTTAGTCTGCAGTAGCCACAGGATGCTGTAATCACATGGCTGTGTCCATTGTTTTACTCTAATCCATCAGTAATATTAACAATGTCAAGAAGAACAAGTTTGTTTCAATAATCAATTTCAAAATGATGCAGTTTTGAGTAGTTTTACTTAATTTTTGTCATTTTCTTGTTTTATTTAATTTTCCATGAGATGCATCTGAAATTATAATTTTTTTATTAACTCAATTTAGTTATTTCAAATGGCTATTTCGTATAGAGGACAACCTCGAGATACAAGCATATTAATAAGAAATAACAGACAAAAAATTAATCAGTTCCCATCGCTTATTAGTGCTAATAACAATGGAAAAAAACATGTTTTTAATTTCTGTAGAGACATACACAAACACAAAAATTATGGTATATAAAGATCCCTGTGATATAAAATAAAATGTGGTTTTAATTATGAGTTCTTACCTTCGAGACAGACGATACAGTAGAGGCTAATGGAGGAGGAAGAGGAGGACAAAGAGGAGGAGGAGGAGGAGGAGGGAGGGAAGAGAGTTGGCCCGTCCGTAGACACTTGATTCCATAGCGTACCTTAGACGTACACTACGTAATTTACATAATCTTAGAATTAACTTGTGTTTTTTTTAACTTTAGGAGGGTACATATTGTACTGCGATCACACATGCGTGCTAGATCACTCACGCGAGATAACGCTACGTACGGAAGTGATGCTTACAGAAGTCGTGGGCCGCTATGAGTGCTAGGCCACCTAGTGTCGGTGTCTGTAAGCGTGGTCGTATCTCACATCTTTACTTGTATCTTGAAGCAAAAAAATTGCTCGATGCTTGCTCGTATGTTGAGACACTCGTATGTCGAGGTTCCACTGTAGATCATATTTTAATTTACAAAAAAAAAACTCCTTCATGGCCCAATCAACCTTGCAATTGCACGTCCTGCACCAATCAAGGTGTAATGTCAAGGTTACACATAGACTTTTAATTTAAAAAGTATGGCACGCAAGGCGGTCGGAGGGCAGTGAAATGCCCTTGGTCTGTTCTAGACTGTTCTAGATGTCTCAGCGTTTATGTCTACACTCTCTGCAGAGCTGATGCAGACGGAGTTGCACCACATCCAAACTCTGACCGTCATGTCAGAGGTCTTCAGGAGAGGCATGTTGGAGGAGCTGCAGTTGGATATGGACTCCGTAGACCGGATCTTCCCCTGCCTCGACCCCCTGCTACAGGATCCACTTTGGCGCGCTTCAGGCATGCCGACAGGATGCAGCCCAACCTGACAACCCCAGAGATTATCTAATCCATCAGATTGGAGACACTCTCCTTCAACAGGTTAGTGAAAACTCATGTTCAAAAGAGGTTTTCTGCACTATTGAAGTCATGATCATTTAACACAATTACTCCTCGACTGTGGAGACAGGTGCACACTATTTTTTTTAAAACAGAACCACCAGGGAAGCAATACACCTGGAATGTTTGGTCCTGTACAAAAAGTAGAAGTGGAAATTATTTTAATGATCGATTTCTATCGATTGCATTGTTTGTGTGAGTCAAAATCTAAACTGAAATCAAAATAACTTTTACGTATACCATCCATTTCTGACCATCTGTCCGTCCTTCTCTGTCAGTTCTCCGATGAAAATGCTGAGAAGATGAAGCAGGTTTACGGAGAGTTCTGCAGTCACCACACAGAAGCTGTCAACGTCTTCAAAGAGCTGCAGCAACAAAACAAGAAACTTCAAAACTTTGTCAGAGTAAGAACTCTCGCCACTTCTACATTCTTCCGGAGATCGTACTTTAATTTAATAATACCTGAGTGCTTTTTATTGTTACGTCATTTCACAGCAACAGAGCAACAACTCTTTGGTCCGTCGACGAGGTGTGCCGGAATTTATCCTACTGGTCACTCAGCGCATTACCAAGTACCCAGTACTGCTGGAGAGGATATTACACTACACACAGGGTAGGTCAGCTCTAAATGTCACAGAGCAGAACCACAAAAACTGCAAGAACATGCGCTTACCACACGTTACAACAACAAGGCACTATCAACCACTCAGAGATGTTAAGCAACAACAACAGGTCACGGTATCAGACGAGATGAGAATATAGATGAACATCAGGTGTGTGTCATCTGCTGTAGCAGTGAGCTGCAGACACTCACACACTCAGCTGCAATGACGAAAGAAACTAGAAATGAACATGTTAAAATAACTTTTTGTTCTCTGTTCGCTGACTGGAATGCTGGGCGAAATCATTTTAATAAAATGTACAAGAAGAAACCTAAACTCTCAAAGATAATTTGGCACATTTGATGTCTACTGCCATTCAGTGGCATCAACAGAAATTGCAGTCGATTCCTGTACTGCATGAAACTAAAGGGTTGACATCAGTCTTTACCACACCTTGTACCGATGTTTGGTGGGTCGAATTAAAAAGCTCAGCAGGCCGTATCTGGCCCACGGGCCGTAGTTTGCTCATCTCTAAGGTTATTAAACAAACAAATTAAAGTAATTAATAAAAACCAACCATAAGAATGTATAATTGTTCATCAACAGAGGGAAGTCAGGACCACGCTGACCTGTCAAAGGCCTTGGGTCAGATCCGTGACATCATCTCTACGGTGGACCTGAGTGTGAGTAAATATGTGAAGTGTCAGGAGCTGCAGGAGGTGCTGGCCCGGCTGGAGAACAAGAGTTTTGCTAAGCTGAAGAATGGCAAAGTGTTCCGGAAACAGGACCTGCACAGCCCGCAGAGGGTCATGGAGCACAAAGGGCTCGTCTACTGGAAGACGGCCACAGGGCGTCTAAAAGGTGCATAGGACCCGACCTTTGATGGCAAGATTTTTAATTTGCCACTGTTTTCAATTTATATTTATTTATATTTATTTATATATTCAGACACTTTGGCCCTCCTGCTCACAGACGTACTGGTTTTCCTACAAGAGAAAGACCAGCGCTTCATATTTGCTGCAGTGGTAAGCTACAGCACAAGTGTCACGCTCAAGCTAGCCATCTAGCTCTATCTACGATGCACACACTTAAAGCATCTGTTTTAATCATCTGTATTCACTACTTTAGGACCAAAAGCCTCCCGTCATCCCTCTGCAGAAGCTCATTGTCCGAGAAGTGGCCAACGAGGAGAGAGGGATGTTCCTTATTTCCGCCTCATCAGTGGGACCAGAGATGTATGAAGTCCACACCAACACCAAAGAGGAGAGGAATGCATGGATGAAACACATTCGACAAGCAGTCGAGAGGTTTGTCGTTTGAATAATCAGTCTAACAAATAATTTTCTTTGTTTACAACCGAATTTCAAAGAAAAAAAATATGGCAACCCAATTTCAAAATATTAAAATGGATTTGGGCCGGGCAGTATTTTCATTTTAATAATGTAAAAAATCAGATTATCTTCCATTGTCTGCTACAGTGTGAGTATTTTTTACCGTATCACTAAGTATAATTAAACTTTATTTTATAAGTATGACTTTGAATTAATTTAAAACATAAAAAAACAGCAAAGATATCTGTCAAATGAAAAGAAACCTTCCACCACCCACCACTGGATTCCCACTCAGTGGTGATGTAATAATCTGATCTACCCTGCAGTTGTCCTGAGGAGGAGGAGGAGGAGGATCGAGGTGTGGAGTCAGAGGAGGTCAGGAGAGCAGCAGAAGCGAGAGTGCAGAAGATCACCAAATTCCAAGGTGAGAAATGATTAACTGTATTATAACAACATATTTATAAGGAATGGTGTGGTTTTGACCATGCTAGAAGTCATATTATTTTCAACAAAACCTGAACTTATATTTTTGCAGAGACATTGTTGGGTCAAGACCAGAGTATCTGCACCAGCTTGGAGGAGAAGCTACGTTTATATGCAGAGCTGACAGAGCTAACCCTGCACTCCCCAGATGCTGTGCCTCATCGCCATCTGCTGGTTAATCCAGATACTGACAGTGAGATCCCTCGACAGGCGTCATCTCTTCTCTCAGCTGCACTCAGAGAAGGTGAATGTCGGTGTCTGATGTCACCTGTCTTAGTCACCTGTCTACCTCATTCTGCATTTTCTTGACTGTGTCTACATCCCTCTAATGCAACAGGTTGCTGCCACATGACAGGCTCATTATATATTTGTGTTATCTTGGCTTCCTCTGCAGCGGAGAACCTGATCTCTATTCTTCAGGCTCGTGAAGAGATCTCTGCACAGAGCCAGAACTCAACAGAAAGAAAGAACAGCGACACCAGTCACGGCAGCAACGTCCAGGAGTCTCCCTCAGAACGTGAGCTGCAAATATTTCCTCTAACTCTCTGTGTGTCAGTTTGCATGTTTGTCCACTATGTTTACAATTCTGCTCACCATCCTGCATGGGATTCAGTTTAAGCGACACTTGATAACATGTGCGCGCCTCTGTGCATCTCCTCCTCCTGCTTCCTTGGTTCCTGCAGCAGATTATCTGAGCACGGTCAGTATGAGCTCTACTTCACTTGGATCAGAGACAGAGTTGACAGCATTGGACAATGTTTTGTGGGGCTCTGGTCAGGAGCTGAGAAGAGGAGACACCAAAGGGACACTGATGAAGGTTCATGTTCTGTACTTCTCATCAGCAATTCTCCATCATATATATTCTTTCAATTATCCTCTTGTAATACCTAATAATACTCTGTTATAGGTGGCAGAAAGTGTCCAGATCCTAACTCAGATTCTCTATAGTCTCCAAGTAAGAAAACAACCATTTTTATCATTTGTTGCTTTCCAGAAATAATAACCATCTGACTGTACTTCTTCCGTTTTTTTTTTTTACAACATACACAAAATACCATTGCATGTGCCACGCAACATGAATTCAATCCTCAAACAAAGACTTGCAATTTGATTACAATCATGAGGCTGGTAAATACAATAATAAATCATAAAATGATATTGAAGCAAGAGACAATTATGATGCAGAAAATTAATTAAACTACCCCTACTAGCTTAGCCCCCACTTTCATTTAGAAGAAGGTCTGATTCAAGACATTGGATTTTAACATATAGAAGCACTGTCCAACAAGTTCCTGAAATATAGTGCACAGAAGCAAAAGTCACTGGTAAAGACACCTTTATAAGGAGCATTGTTTAAATCTTCTCTATAGCTGAGCTGTAGCTTCATCTAAACAACTAATGTTGGTCTGAAGAACAGGGGACAGACATAACTTTCTCAGAGACATACACAGGGATTTTGTATGATGTGTCTATTTAGATTTGAGGATATACTATTACATTCCTAAACTTAACAAGGCAGCTTCTATGTAACAGTTATCAATTTGAGCGTGTGTGTGTTCTCCTGGTATCTACAGGCTGCAGTAACACTGCAGGACAGCTGGTATGAAGTTCATAAGCCCTCACTGCGAGCACTTGCATCCCTTCAAAACAGTCCGGTACCAACATATTCACAAAGTTATTTTACTACCTATAGGTCCACAGCACTATGGCCAAATATGGTAATTCGGTGTCTGCTCTAAATCTAGGAGCAGGACAAGCAGAAGAGCAATGACAAGAAGAAGGAGGAAGTAGAGAGAAAAAATTCGGAGAGAAAAAAAGAGGAAGTGGACGAGGTGCAGAAACTTCATCTGAAGCTGAAACTGGAACAGCAGCGCTGGGACAGAGAGTGTGTGGCCAGAGAGAAGCATCAGGTCAGACCCTCATGTCCATCACAGAAAAGACACTGAACTTGTGCTTTCAAGCTAACCTCAAAGTTCAGCCACAAAAACCCTGCTCACAAAAACAGTCAAAAATCTGTATTTCATTAAATAATGGATTAACATAGAACCTCTATATTTATAGTATGAATTCAAAAAGCAAACACGGAACTCGTCAAAGTGCTACAAGTTGCCCCTGTGGCAGATGTAAAGCTAAAGTTTGAATTGAACATGCAACTTCCCTTCCTCACCTGCAGGGTGTACTGTCCACACAGTTTTGAATGCAGGGATTTAATGTATTCTTTGACTACTTTTACAGTTAAGTTGGGGTCACATGATGGCGATTGTCTTACTTGTCTTTTTTATTTTTATTAGCATTTACACCTGAATTACTGGTTATATAAATAATGATTTAATGTTTTTGTTTCAGTAACTTTGCAACAAATTCTATAATATTGCCCTTTCTTTTTGATAACTCTATATTTGTCTTTGTTTACAGAGTGAGCAGGAGAGTGTGCTGGAGCATCGGGAACAACAGTGCCTCCTGGAGGCTGAGCGACTACGCTGTGAGCGTGAGGAGCTGGAGGCCCAGTTGCTGGAGTACAAACAAAACCTGGACAGACTGAAGGAGGGCCAGAGGAGTGTTGAGAGGGAGAAAGAGAAGATCGAAGCCCAACAGAGGCTCCTCCAGACATGGAGACACACCCGACAGAGCAGTTTGCCGGTGACTATACCAATGGATGGATACCAGGTATGACAGAGAAGGCTGACGCAAAATACAATTTACCAAATAATTCATGCCCACTCTGAGCGTCTTTGGTGTTGGGTCTAAACTCTCCAGGTGCCCAGCCACAGCCGCTCAGGCAGTCTGGATGGCTGTTCCTCTGTGTACAACCACGAGGCAGCTTTGCTTGTAGCGCTGCAGCGTAACCACCCGCAGCAGCCGCTGAGCAACAACCAACACCGGAATCAGCTCTCCACATCAATGACGAACCAGGATGGCTCCATGCACAGCTCCAGCTACACTGCTAACCTTGACCTCAGTGCAAGTCTTTACAACAGCCTCAACACCCTGCTGAGTCAGGCTCACAGCAAACAGGCTCCAGATGGTCACATGAACCCAAAACATGGCAACAACCACAGCTGCCCTTGGCCTCTGAACGACTCTGTCAACACATTCAACAGCAGAGTAACAGCACAGCCGCAGAGGACAAACGACAGTAAGACTGATAACTAGGCAAGACATTTGACAGGAGTGTACAGTGTAACATTTGATTTAGTACACGCTTGGTCGCTCACATACAATAGATGACTATAAAAAAATTAAAATGTGGAAATGTTAACATTGTGATCGTTACAAAAGCCTCTCACCAACCTTGCCTCAGGGGGGAGCCATGTGCTTATTAAACAGGGGGTGTATTTCTGTGTATTTCTTAAATATTCAGTAAAATATATATTATCTCTGAAGCCAAATGCTTTGACTGACTTAATTTATAACCTGACATTTATCATTTTCTCCGTTCCTTCTTTCAGCCGATTTCAGCCCTCCTTTGGAAAAACTTTCCCTGAGTCCGTGGAAGTATGACCCTCAGCTTGTCACAGGCCACGGATTTTACGACAACTTCACTTCCACCTCACCCTCTCTTACCCCACTTCTCCTGCCCCAGGCTTACCTCTCCCTTGAAGGACCGAACGGGGAGGAGGGAGGAGAGGAGAATGTTGTTTACCTTTGAAAATACACAAGCTGCCTGACACACAGTCATTGGAGTCTTATGGTTATAAAAAGTGAGGCCTCGGGTGTAGACAGAGGTATGAATGTAAATCTATGGGAAAATGAGTGGTTAATAACTTTTTTGTTAATACATCATCTGACAGTTTTTTGAATTATGATCCTCTTTGGAGGAAAATACACAACAAAGCACGATAGATGGAAAGGAGTGGACAATGTTTTTGATTGACTGTCTGAGAAGAACTGGTGATGCCATTTTATTGTTGATCCTACAGGCTGTTTCCAAGTTTGAGTTAGAAGTGGCTCAATTTCCCCATTGATTTCCACTCATTGGAAGCCAGACAGAAGGTTCTGGTCTACAGCTTCAGATGTGTTGATTATATCTGAATAGTTGCATTTATTTCTTGTACATGGTCTAAGAAGTGGACCAATATTAAAACTGTTACTTGCTTACTGTGTTCCTGAATGTGGGCTTTTCTGTAATCACACTAGGGAACAGTTGTGGAGAACGTACATGCAGACATGTACGTTCTATGTGCCTTTATTAGCCCTTCATTGTTTTTATTCATGTGCAAAACAAATTGTGCCTTTGTGCTGAAAGCTCTTTGTAAATCAGCATTTGATCTGTATGTGCTGTGTTTCATTTTGTGCTGGACTTGTTCCACGGCATAATGACGTTTTCTTTCTACAAACACTGGGACCTAAAGTGTTAGGAAATCTGGAAATATATTTTTCCCTGAGCACTTATTAAAAAGAAAAAGAAAATATTTGATGAGCAAATTGAAAGTGATGCTTACTTTTTTCTTCATGTTGTCATTAATAATATTTATGTGGGATTTAAAACATTTGGAAAAATATATCTGACGTGTCTAAAGTGATTGTATAGATGTTAAATATATGTATAGTTTTGTGATAAGGCTACCGACGCACATAAGGTTGTAAAAGGAAGCTTTCTTTTTTTCTTTTTTTACACAGAAGTGCCAAAACATCCTGCTCTCTGATGCTGTAATTGATTTGTGTAAAGTATTTTTATTCATTTCTTTCTTTTGGGGGATAATTTATTGAGTGTAAACTGCTTCATGCACTGTCACTATTAATGTTCTTGTCATTCTTGTCAATAAAATATGAGCTCTCTTAATCACAATGGTGATGCAATATTCATATTGTGCCCGTATATGAAACTCTTATGGCTTCTGTGGGTTTTTTTTTTCTATTCTGAAGAAAACCTGTGATGCAATACTGCACACGTAACTGTTGATAAGCGTCCAAGAACCACTTTACCCTAAAAGCATCAGCATGCGCTGCCTGTGTTTTATTCCAGTTACTCCTGTGTTTATTCTTCTATCATGAAGATTAACATTTTTCAAATAGCTTGGATCAATCTGCTGACTTTGTATCTAATATTTTCTGAGCTTGGCAGTAGATGCTGTCACGACTTGGGTGAGTTTGGGCTTTTTAAATTCTCTCTATACTCTATACAACTGCAGTAACGTTCCTCATGTATTTCCTCTAACTTAAAACATGCATTCTACTACACCACACCAGGGTGGCAGCCAACGAGGCCAATAATTACTTTATTTAATGACAAGCAGAGACTTGCTGTGAACTGGCTCGTCAGCCAAAGTGTCAAAGTGGCTGTCACACACCAGATCCAGATCAGCCGCACTGAGAACCACATGATTATTTACAACGTGAGTTTGTTGACATCTCTGTAACTTTACAGAACTTGTGAGAAAATTATCAGTAATGATCCCTACTTCATAGCCAATTTACTGCACAAGGTTTACTTGTGTTTCATCACATTGTCAGACAAATGTCAGTGGACACTCCCTAAATTCATCTGAATATAAGTGGACCTGGACCTCTGACCTGCCTCTGAACTGTGTTGATCACTCAGTGAGGG